GAGTTTCATCTTCAGGATCTGGCCTTCTAAAGAGCAGTCAGAGTTGATCTCCTCTAGGACTGACCAGTTTGATCGCCTTGCAGTCCAAGGGACTCTCAGGAGTCTTCTCCAGCACCATAGTTCAAAGGCCTCAATTCTTTGGCGCTCAGCTTTCTTATGGTCCATCTTTCACAACCATACATTGCAACAGGGAAAACCGTAGCCTTGACTATATGTTCATAGAGAACCCAAAATACCTGCACCAAATATAAACTAATTAGAATATTGGAAGAAAAAATGAAGGGTCTAGAGAAAAGTCTAACTACTCTGAGACTCAACCGAGAAAATGAAGAACTCCCAGTAAAGGCAGAAGTTTGTGTCCAAACTGAATATAGTAAAGAACAAACAACTAGCAGGAAAAATGAACCCCCCATAGATAGACTGATGGCAGCATGTCACTCACAGGATGAAAAAAAAATCAAGAAGACTGTTTTTGCTGCCCAGTTGAGCCCTGCTGGAGTGGAGCAACAGATTTCATATGCTCCTCCCACCCCCGGAAGAAAACATGCAGACAATCGGAGAAGAGACTTCATCAAATATTCCAGTGACAGGAAAAACCTCAAAATTCCCCAAATAAAAAAAAGTGTGTGTTGGTAATAGGTGACTCACTTTTCAGAGGAACAGAATCAAAAATTTGGAGATCAGACAATCTACCAAGGGAGGTATATTGACTCTAACATGCAAAGATGAAAGATGTGACAGAGAGGCTTACTAAAATAATCAAGCCCACAGATTATAATCCCTTTGCGCCAACTCAGAAAACTCAAACTGCCCAAGGAGCTGCTGATACAGTTCTACAGTTCTACAGAGGAAACATTGAATCTGTCATCTGCACCTCTATAACTGTCTGGTTTGGTTCTGCAACCCAACATGACAGACACAGACTTCAGAGGATAATTAGAACTACAGAAAAAACAACTGCTACCAACCTGCCTTCCATTGAGGACCTGCATACTGCACAAGTCAAAAATAGGGCTGTGAAAATATTTACAGACCACTCGCATCCTGGACATAAACTATTTCAACTCCTACCCTCAAAACGACAGTATAGAGCACTGCACATCAGAACAACTAGACACAAAAACAGTTTTTTCCCGAACGCCATCACTCATCTAAACAAATAATTCCCTCAACACTGTCAAACTATTTACTAACTCTGCACTACTATTAATCTTCTCATCGTTCCCACCACCCATCGCCTTCCACTGATGACTGCATGACTGTAACTTTGTTACTTGTATCCTTACGATTTATATTGATATTGTTTCCTGATTGCTTATTTGTACCCTATGACTATCATTAAGTGTTGTACCTTATGATTCTTGATGAATGTATCTTTTCTTTTATGTACACTGAGAGCATATGCACCAAGACAAATTCCATGTGTGTCCAATCATACTTGGCCAAAAAAAAATCAATTCTATTCTATTCTATTCTATTCTATTCTATTCTATTCTATTCTATTCTATTCTATTCTATTTTCTATTCTTTCTCCTCTTTCACATTAGGACAAAGAGCCTGAAAATGATAGCAAGGGACTATGAAGCAGCTAGACAGGAAAGCTATACTCAGATTATTCAAGCTCATAACCACCAGTGTGCATCTCTACATCATATGGCCTGCTATGGATCCTGTCAGTCAAAGAATTCTGATATTTGGGATCCAGAAAAGACTTCTGTGCCTTAACACCCATCTTCTTGAACCTGGTACCTCCCAGGGTGAGATTTGTCCCCACCCTCCTATCCTTCCCAAGAGGTTGAAGGCCTGTCTCTGCCAAATGGCCTGGGAATCCAATGAGGGAATACCACACTGGAAGTGGCTAACAGATTGATAGCAAACCCACCTCTCCTCCCCTGCATTCCCTACTTTCTCCCTCCCATTTTTTTATCTCATATTACTATGTTTTCGTTGTTTATTTTATTGTTTCATTTTTTTGCTACTGTTAGCCTTACACTTCTTTTCATTTGTTTGTTTGTACTCTTGTAAACTACCTAGAGTAGTCCTGCAGCGAGATAGGCAGCAAATAAATTTATCAAATAAATAAATATGCCTAAAGATAGCTTCAAATAGAAGAGAAAAGGCAACTCTACATCACCATCTTTTCAAAGTTTAGAAGTCACCTCTGGTCATGTTTTTCATTTTTATAAAGTTAGTCTTAAAAGTCTTTTAATTCTTCCATTTGTTTTCTTCCCACCATACTCTGAGTAATAAATCATATGGAGTTTATCAGTCGTACATCTATATATTCAGACACATTGCTTACTATTTTTCTTCTAACTCTCAGTGAACTGCATTAAATGGACAGAAACTCAATTAAGTTTACTGATGTTTCTGCGAAAGAGGAGATATTCCTTCTCATTATGTACATCTTGAGCATTTTAGAGATGATCCCACTTAAGTGAGTACTCATGAGAAGGTGTTGATGTGGAATAGCAATAGCAATAACATTTAGACTTATATACCTCTTCATAGTGCTTTACAGCCCTCTCTAAGTGGTTTACAGAGTCAGCCTATTGCCCCCAACAATCTGGGTCCTCATTTTACCCACCTCGGAAGGAGGGAAGGCTGAGTCAACCTTGAGCCTGGTGAGATTTGAACTGTCAAATTGCAGGCAGCTGGCAGGCAGCAGAAGTAGCCTGCAGTACTGCACTGTAACCACTGTGCCACCGTGACTCATACTCTCTCAGTATTATAATCTATCTATCATTGTATTCTTTCATAGCAGCAATGAGTGGACGTGTGATGTATAAAAGGATGTGAAAAGGGTTGCATGAAAACCACAATGTATGGTCATCTTCTTAAAATGATAGATCAATAAAGTAAACCATTATTTTCCAGCAAAATTGATGACATGCTGATGCTTGTCTTGGTCTATGTTCAGTATGTACTCTCCAGATTTGATCCACAAAGAATGCTACCCTATAGGTTTTCCTTCTTTCTTATTGAATATAAAGGAGTAATTAAGACCCATATTTAATTTTATTTCTATATTTAAAAAGGAACTCTGTAGAGTTGAAACCAGAAATTTTTCTATTAGGCATGATCAAAGAAAACCATAGGAAAGAAACAAAATATTTAATATTACATATAATTACGGCACCCAGATTGGCACTAGCGCAATATTGGAAAATGGATCAATTACCAACTGATCAACTAATAATCCAAAAAATTTACAATTGTGCGGAGATGGACAAATTAACATTTGAGTTAAAAGACAAGGCAGACTCAAAATATTACACGGTATGGAATAGATGGTACGATTGGATAATTTAAAAAGAGAGAGAGATTATTGTCTTTCAGAAAATTCTGAAAGACAATAATATCAATAAACACGCACCCTCAATAAGATAAAGGACGTGATAAAGTGACAAGTCACTTTCCACATTTTTTTCTTTTCTTTTACTTATTTTGTTTTGTTTACTTTTTCATCTTTAGTTGTGAGTAAGTAATGTTATGTGGAGTAATATAAATGTATTTTATATGTACTCGATATGACATTTTATCTTTTTTATGTTTAATAAAGTTTGTTTAAAAAAAGAAAAGAAAGAAAACCACAATGTATGGTCATCTTCTTAAAATGATAGATCAATAAAGTAAACCATTATTTTCCAGCAAAATTGATGACATGCTAATGTTTGTCTTGGTATATGTATGTACTCAGTATGTATGTACTCTCCAGATTTGATCCCCACAGAAAGCTACCCTATAGGTTTTCCTTCTTTCTTATTGAATTTAAAGGAGTAATTAAGACCCATATTTAATTTTATTTCTATATTTAAAAAGGAACTCTTTGGTTGCAGTTATGTCTATTCAAGGCAACTACACAAAGGGCGTAATTATAAGATGATGTAAGAAGAAATATTAAGAAAATATTATATAGTCTTTCTTTAACTCCTGGAATAGGGATAGATTTAAAAAATAAATAAATAAATAGAGGAATTCTATTGTTCAAAGAAAACATTGAGATGCCATGTTTCTTCCAACCATCTCTCCTGTACCATGCTCTCACAGTTGGCCAAGTAAAACTTCACACATAAGACTGTCATTTGCATAATCATTCTTTATTTGCTTCCAGTTACTTTGGGGAGGAAACCAACTTTGATTTATTATCACTTTTAGTGGAAGATTTTTGCAGATGAAAAACCCTGCACAAGACTGTTGGATATGTTTATGCTGCTGCTGCAAAGCCAACCCGGTTGTTGCCCAAGTCGTACACGGAGTAGTAGGGCCTGAGGAAGACATCACCAAGGATCCACAGAGGTTGCCCATTCTGGGATGGCAGGTAAGTAGGCATGATGGCAATCTCGCAATAGTTACCATTATACTGTTGAGGAAAAGACATAGACTGCATTAAAACTTTTGGGCTAAGGCAAAATATCAGAAATAACCTGAGACAGTTAACCTGAGAAAGCAAAGTTCAACTTTCAGTATTCAAACTCTCTACAGTTGTAAATCACATATAACTGCCTAGATTTTTAACCACAAAACTATCCACTATTCTGCAACTGCATCTTAAAGAATACATTTTTAGGCCTGCTCAGTTCATAATTACTCAATTCCCTACAAGAAAAGTTGATCTAAATTTCAATACATGGACCACCAGGAGACAAATCGTTGGCTTCAATTACCCAAGTCTCTCAAATATTTATTTTCTTAATGGCCCCCTACTTTACACCATACTGCACCTTCGGGTTTCCCATATCTTTTTTATATACCGTAGTATCTTGCCAACTTTTTTAGCTCCTTTCTTCAGCTTTCCCATGAGGGCATATCAAAGTCATGCTCCTTGCTTTTCCATGGGACAGCGAAGAGAATGAAATGTCATGAAGAGATCCAGCTGTGCTATGCCTTTCTATAGAGCAGTTGTAAATGACTGATACAAGGTAATTTCAGATACCTAAGACCATCATGAAAAGAGCTCTTGAAGAGAATGACCTACAGAAGGGTATAGGCATATGGACTCAGGGGTAATAAACTCCATTGAGGGCAAATGTGATAGTCGGCATGTACTCAATGTTACTGCAGTTAACCGCAAACTATAGAATAGGAAAGGAGATATAGAGAAAATGTAGAAAAACTGTAAGTACAATATTCTATGGGATAAACCAGACAGTAAATAAGTAAGTAAGTTTATACAGCATCCTGCTCCCCTTCTTATTTTGAATTACAGCATCCTGCTCCCCTTCTTATTTTGAATTACTTTCCTATACAAGCACATTTGCTTAATTCAATATCAAGATGCATTAGAAGGGAAAACTCTACTTCTTGCTTTAGCCTTCTTAAGAAAAAAGCCAACTCTTCCCTATACTGGCAGATGGGTGGGAGTTGAACTTCCATTAGCATCTTGTCTGGTTTGTTTTGATAAAAGCTAAACTAAGAACTAGCAACTACGGTAAGGTAGGTCTTGCCAGATAGCTGTACATTTTCTGGCAACCTCCCTCATCCCACCCCACCTCACAATTCCCATTGCCTGGATAAATGAAATGAGTATTAAGGGAGTCACTTTTTCCATCATCTTATATTGGATTCATTTGGGATATATTTTCATACCCACAATAAGAGCATCCTAGGTCTCTTGCTGATATTTAGGATTGCCAGTTATACTCAATATTCCCTGTCCCTGCATATAGCAGCTTTCCCCTACCTGGCCATTGTTGCTTTGCTGAGCTCCAATGTTCTGCATCAGGTTTCCAAAGAATTGCCCAGGAACAGTGAGTAGGGATGTTCCGGTATCCACAATCGCCTGGCACCCCTGGCTACACCAATTGGTTTCCTGGTTGTTGACCAGGAATCTAGAGAAAGAAAGTCCAGAGATACTTGCTGTTATATTGTTCTTCCACACTTAGTCAACAGATACTCAGTGGCATCACCAAAACGGGAGCAGCTGTGGTTATTTCCATATAAAATCAGATTGTTTTCTTGCCCTGGTTTTGCCACTGGACCACCAAAGTCATGGGTTTGTTTGTTTTTTGTTTCCGAAGAGGGAAAAAAAGATTATTGTCCCAGAAATAAAAGCAAACTGGAAAGGCATATTTGTAGAGTACATAATTAACGACTGCTGACCAGCTGCTACTAGTAGAATCAGAGTTGTCTTGGTGTAGGAAGCCAGAGACTCTTCTGCTGACTGCCAGCTGACTGCAATTTGGCGGTTCAAATCTCACCAGGCTCAAGGTTGACTCAGCCTTCCATCCTTCCAAGGTGAGTAAAAATGAGGACCCAAATTGTTGGGGGCAATATGCTGACTCTGTAAACCGGTTAGAGGGGGTTGTAAAGCATTGTAAAGCGGTATATAAGTCTAAGTGCTATTATTTATTATTTATTTTATTTTTATTTATTTATTTTGTCAAGTACGTATTAGATAATATATCTAATATATAAGCATATGTATAAGTATAAGCATGAATTGAATACATAAAATAGATACAAATAGAGGAAACATTAGGAAAGGGAGGTAGGCATGCTGGTCCTCTTATGCACATCCCTTACAGACCTCTTAGGAATGGGGTGAGGTCAACAGTAGACAGTCTTAGATTAAAATTTTGGGGGTTTTGGGATGAAACCACAGAGTCAGGTAGTGCATTCCAGGCATTGACCACTCTGTTGCTGAAGTCATATTTTCTGCAATCAAGTTTGGAGCAGTTCACTTTAAGTTTGTATCTGTTATGTGTTCTTGTACTGTTGTGGTTGAAGCTGAAGTAATCATTGACAGGTAGGACATTGTAGCAGATAATTTTATTTATTTTTATTTATTTATTTATTTATTAAATTTTTATACCGCCCCCTCTCCCGAAGGACTCGGGGCGGTGAACAGCCAGAATTAAAAACACACAATACAAATATTAAAATACATTAAAACGAAATTAAATTATCTTTGGCTTCTCCAATTTAAAACCCCTTACCCAAAAAATTCCCCAATTAAAAAATTATTAACCCAGCCCAGCTTGCTGAAATAAAAGAGTCTTCAGGGCCCGGCGGAAGGTCCGGAGGTCCGGGATTAGTCGTATCCCTGGGGGTAGCTCATTCCAGAGGGCGGGTCTCCCCACAGAGAAGGCTCTTCCCCGGGGGGTCGCCAGCCGACATTGCCTGACCGACGGCTCCCTGAGGAGTTCCTCTCTGTGGGAGCGGGTTGGCCGGTGGGAGGTTATCGGAGGCAGAAGGTGGTCTCGTAAGTAACCGGGTCCTAAGCCATGGAGCGCTTTGAAGATGAGAACCAACACCTTGAAGCGCACTTGGAAGACCACTGGAAGCCAATGCAGCTCGCGCAGGAGAGGTGTCACGTGGGAGCGCCATGTTGCCCCCATAAGTACCCACGCGGCCGCATTCTGCACCAGTTGGAGCCTCCGAGTGCTTCTCAAGGGGAGCCCCATGTAGAGAGCATTGCAGTAGTCAAGGCGGGAAGTGACGAGGGCATGAGTGACCGTGCATAGGGAGTCCCGATCCAGAAAGGGGCGCAACTGGCATATCAGGCGAACCTGATAGAAAGCCCCCCTGGCCACGGCCATCATATGCTCTTCTAAAGACAGCCGTGCGTCCAGGAGGACACCCAAGTTACGCGCCCTCTCTGTGGGGGCCAATGTCTCGCCCCCAATAGTCAGCGATGGCACCAGCTGACTATATCGGGACGCCGGCAGCCACAGCCACTCAGTCTTGGAGGGATTGAGTCGGAGCCTGTTCCTCCCCATCCAGACCCGTACGGCCTCCAGGCACCGGGACATCACTTCAAGGGCATCGTTGGGGTGGTCTGGGGTGGAGATGTACAGCTGGGTGTCATCAGCGTACAGATGGCACTGCACCCAAAACCACAGATGATCTTGCCCAGCGGCTTCACATAAATGTTGAACAGGAGAGGCGAGAGGACCGACCCTTGTGGCACCCCACAAACCAAGTGCCTTGAGGTCGACCTCTGCCCTCCAGCCAACACAGACTGCGACCGGTCAGAGAGATAGGAGGAGAACCACCGTAAGACAGTGCCTCCCACTCCCAACCCCTCCAACCGGCGCAGCATGATACCATGATCGATGGTATCAAAAGCCACTGAGAGGTCTAATAGGACCAGAACAGAGGAGCAACCTCTGTCCCGAGCCCTCCAGAGATCATCAACCAACGCGACCAATGCCGTTTCCGTGCTGTACCCGGGCCTGAAGCCAGACTGGAACGGATCTAGATAGATGGTTTCATCCAGGTACTGCGGGAGCTGTCGTGCAACCACACTCTCAACAACCTTCGCCAAAAAGCGAAGGTTGGAAACTGGACGATAGTTTGCTAAAACAGCTGGGTCCAGAGAAGGCTTCTTGAGGAGGGGCCTCACCACCGCCTCTTTCAAGGCAGGAGGCAAGAACCCCTCACTCAAGGAAGCATTTATAATCCTCTGGAGCCAGCCTCGTGTAAACTCCCGGGTAGCCAGCACCAACCAGGAGGGACATGGGTCCAATAAACATGTGGTTGCATTCAACCTCCCCAGCACCCTGTCCATGTCCTCGGGAGTCACAGGTTCAAACTCATCCCAGATAACCATCTCAAGACACACCTCGGACAACCCGCCTGTACCTACCCAGTCAGAGTCCAAGCCTTCCCGAATTTGAGCGACTTTATCGTGCAGATAATGCGCAAAATCCTCAGCACGACCTTGCAAGGGGTCTTCCCGCGCTCCCAGATGGAGAAGGAAGCAGGTCACCCTAAACAAGGCAGCTGGGCGATTTTCTGCCGACGCGATAAGAGCGGAAAAGTAATTACCCTTCGCCGCCTTTATCGCCACTAAGTAGGTCTTGATATAAGACCTCACTAGTGTACGGTCAGATTCGGAGCGACTGGCCCTCCAACTACTCTCTAGGCGTCTTTTCCGGCGTTTCATCCCCCTCAGCTCCTCGGAGAACCAAGGAACTGGGCAGATTCGGTGCCGGGTCAGAGGCCGCAAAGGCACGACCCGATCTAAAGCACCAGCGGCCGCCCTATCCCAGGCGGCCACCAGGTCTTCCGTCGAGTCGCGCGCCAGAGTCTCAGGAAATGGCCCAAGCTCCATTCGGAACCTATCAGGATCCATCAGGCGCCTGGGGCGGAACCACCTGATCGGTTCCGCCTCCCTGCGGTGGGGTGTAGCGGTCAGGAAGTCAAGTCTGAGGAGAGAATGGTCTGACCATGACAAGGGTTCAATAACTATATCCCCTGTATCTAAGCCATTCAACCACTGACCAGAGACGAAAACCAGTCCAGCGTGTTTCCTCCTGTGTGAGTGGGGCCCTGAATTAACTGGGTCAGGTCCATGGCCGTCATGGAAGCCATGAACTCCCGCGCCACCTCAGATGCTGCACCGATGGACGGCAGGTTGAAATCCCCCATGACTAAAAGCCTGGGGGTATCAACCGCCACCCCGGCTATAACATTGAGGAGCTCGGGCAGGGTCGCTGCCACGTAGCAAGGAGCCAGGTACGCAACCAGCAGGCCCATCTGCCTCCCATGGCCCCACTTCACAAGGAGAGACTCACAACCGGCTATCTGAGGTACAGTGGCCTCCCTAGGATCAAGACCTTCCTTTACAATAACCGCCACCCCCCCACCCCTACCCTGGGCCCTCCGCAAATGAAATGCGTGGAAACCCGGTGTGCACATTTCTACGAGGGGGACCCCCCCTCCAGGCCCAACCAGGTCTCTGTAATACCCGCCAGGTCCGCTCCCCCCTCCTGAATCAGCTACGCTTAGGTCATACCGAAGGCGGCATAGTTCTAAGTTTTCTAAGCCCAGAATTTCAAGTCTGGTGGCATAAGGTATTTTGTTGCAAGCAGAGGAGTGTAGGAGTGTTGCTATTACATTCAATTGGATACCTCTCCATTTAATACTTTTGCCTTCTGTCCTATTAAAAACTACCAGTTGCAACTTTCTGAGTGGTTCTGGGGCCCCACAGGTATCCTTTGATGTAGAGATTTCAAAATCCCATCTCCAAGGGATTATTCCTCATCTAAGACTTAAATTTCTGTTGGTTTTCCATCAGGCTTTTCGGTAAATATTACTACTGAAAACAGCCTTACCCATCAATCGCAATTTGCCAATACTCTTCTTGGGTGACTGGACTCCAGTTAATCTGACCAGAGTAGAGACTGGAATCGACTCCTCCGAATATAAGTGAACCACCATCCTGAACGCTTGGCTGCCTAAAAAGATCAATGGAGAAAGTCAGAAGAACAATCTTATTAAGATATATTGCTGGTTCATACCAATGTTTCCTTTTTAGCTGGCTGAAGGACCTGTGTGTGAGGGCCTTTTCATTGTGAAATAATACCCTCCTTGAAGGGCTGCCTAGTGTTAAGGGACAGTATTATGCAACTCCAGAAATAGAAGAGGCCATTTAAGTAATCCATTCTCTGGAATAGAATTCAGTTTAAACCAGGTTTTTTTTCAAACTTGGCCATTTTTGTTGGATAGACATCCCAGAATTCCTCAGCTAGCATGCTGGAAACTGAAGTCACCCACCTTAAAGTTGCCAAGTGTGGAAAAACATTGGTTTAAACCAGCCGTGAATAGTCACTCACTATGATCTTCTATAACAAATCTGTTGAAGAGGAGCCCAGCACCTTCCTGGGTATTTGGTTAACTATCAAACTGCTCTTATAGTTAGGAAACGTTTCAAAATACTAATCTGGGATCTGATTCTGATACTTTAAATCTATTGTCCAGGATGACAGATAATAGGGCTTTTCCTTTCTCTGTGTGCATCCTGAAAAGTGCTAAAGAGTCCTGTGAGATCATCTGGCAAATCAGAAGGTGCACAGAGTAAAGGACAAATATGATAAGGTAAAAAATAGTACTCTCTATCTTATGCCAGTAATTTCAAGAACCATTTTTAAAACTTTAAAGAAATCCTAAAGCACCCTGAGAATAATATAGTCAAAATAGAATCTATTTTAACAGGAAAAAATGTATCAAGCAACTGGAGGAGCATTTTTCTCATAACTGTAAAAGAAAGGCATGAGCAACATTTCATGGCTAGGACTCAGTAATACTTTTGTTCTGTCCCCCTTCCCCACACAGGCAAACACACAACCAGGCACGCCTGCCAAGATTTTGCAGATAAGAGTTTTCGCAGTAAACTGTGAAATGCCTGCCAAGTCAGTTTTCACTCACAGTAAGCAGGAGAGAGTTTATCCTCAGTCCGGTTCAGTAGCAAAAAGTAATCCACGAAGCAAGAATTAGCCAAGATCCAATCCAAATATGCACAAGCCAGATTTCAGGTAACGCGATGTGACTCTCAGGTTTTTAACTTTGACCGTTCACAAAGCCTGAAGAGCAATCACACCCATTTTTATTCCTTGTGGGGTGTGGCTCAGTGACTCAGCTCAATCTCTGGCCCTCTCACACCTCTTTCGTTGCTGTGCACGCTTCTCCCTCCGACGCTGCCTGGGATCAAGCCAGGATTCATCATCCTCGCTCCCTATCTGTTGTTGTTCCGATATGCTTTCCTCCTGGCATATACCAGGCTGTTCCTCTTGGCCTTCAGATGGAACCTGAGGCATTGCTCTTCCTCAGATCATAGCTATGCCAATATAGAGATGAGATTGCATTGTCCTGTTTTTTGTCATCCAGAATTCTAAACAGCTAACAGAGTAGCTGCTATAAATAGCTACATAAAGATTACATCAACCAATGTGCAAAAATATTGCTGTGCCTATGTAGCACAGTAATCTACAAAGTCTTTGCTTTGGACTTTCCCTTCAGTAGTTGGGAAGGAAAAATGAGCCAACTCCATTCCATATGCTTCATTGAATGGACTCCACAATATTACCAGCTGCGAAGTGCCTGTTGTCATCTTTTCAAATGAAAGCTGGAAATTAGATTTAAAGTGATCTTGTAGAGTCATCTTGACCAAACTGAAAACCATAAAAATATAATAATGATGTATCTGGTAATAGAATGATTATTTCCTCAATTTATCTTTAAAGAACCAAGAGACTTAGTGACATTGCATCACATCATGTTTAAAAAATCCAGGCTTTTGGCTCTTCACATGTTCTTCACGTAGTTGGGATTCCAAACCAGAATCTCATGTTGAACACAGTGTGCAAGATAGCGGTAAAAGAGGAAATAGTAGTTTATAAAGTGTCCATAGTCACCATTTAGAGCAGTGTTTTTCAAACTTACAACTTTAGAACATGAACATTTCAACTCCCAGAATTCCCCAGCCAGCATGCCCACATTTTAGGGTTGCCAAAAAACTTTGATTTATGTCTTTCAAGGTAGCAATGATCTGGGTTAAATGTCAAGCAAATGATGATCAGTGCAATCTATGAATTCTATATACCTTATATCCCAAAGCAGCGAACAAAGTAAAGATTTTTTTAAACCCTATAAATAAAAACTATACATGAACATATCATTTATAAAGAGGAGCAGACTCATAGTCATAATATAGACTATTTATGAAATAGTACAGGTAGTTCTCAACTTATGACCACAATGGAGCCCAAAATTTATGTTGCTAAGTGAGAAATTTGTTGAGTTTTGCATCATTTTACGACTTTTCTTGTCACATTTGTTAACTGAATCATTGCAGCTGTTAAATGAGTAACATGGTTATTAAGTGAATCTGGCTTCCCCATTAATTTTGCTTGTCAGAAGGTTGCAAAAGGGGATTAAGTGACTCTGGGACACTGCAACTGTCATAAATGTGAACCAGTTTTCAAGCATCCAAATGCAAATCACATGACCATGGGAATACTGCAATGGTCATAAGTGTGAAAAATGGTCATGTCACTTTTTTCAATGCCGTTGTCAGTTCAAACGGTCACTAAATGAATGTAAGTAATGGACTATCTGTAACTGAATTTATTGTTCCTCCTTTCCTTCTGATTTTTTTTTCTCCCATTCCTTTTTCTTTTTTTATTATATTCTGTTTCACCAGGTATATATAACTCACTCTGAAAGTCTTTCTGGATGAAAAAGATAAACTGCTTTTGATAAATGAATAAATATGCATTTTAAAGCAATTAAATATTATTGAAAACTTCATAACCTTCCCCGAGAGCTATAAATACACTAACCTAGATACCAGTGAAGAAGGAAATTCCACAATTTGGTGCCATACTACAAATATCTTCTCCATTTACCTGCCTAAAGCGAGGAATGGAGCAGATATCTGATTAAGATATAATTTAATCAGCAAGGCAAACCTCGTGTTTTTAAATTAACCACAGAAATGAATCAATAACCAGTGTGACTCTTTTATAACAAGCATGCTCACAACAGTCATTTACAGATTACTAACTTTTATAGCAGTTGTGGTTTCTGAAAATTTTTCAGGAGACCATATCTCTTACAGTGCATTACAATTTATCAATGTTCCACAGCTGTGAAATTTATCTTTTATGTTCTTTCAAAGTAAATCACAACAGAACCAGAAATTGATAAAGAAAAAAAAATGGCCCTGGAAAAGTTTTACTTAAGAGACTACATTAGTGTGTGTGTGTGTTGTGATATTAAATTTCACAAAATTTTGATATTTTTGCCTGACATCTGAGGTCAGATTATTAAATAATGCCAGAGTTTGGCAATCCATTTGCAATTTTTGCTATTTTTATGCTTGGATACAAATGGGACCAAGTGAATTGTGTTAAGAATCTGTCAATACATGACAACTTAGCAATTCTTGCCATAAAGTAACATATAACAATAACATAGAAATTATAGTAACACATAAATAGTAATAGCAAGAAAAGTTTTATCATTCTTTATCAAATCCTTGAAAATGATTATCCTCTCTGGTAGGGCTATCATGTTTGGGCTCCCCAAATCTGTACAATAACTAGTTCCAACAATCAATGGTTTCACTGCAGAGAAAGATGCTAGAACTCGTAGTTACTCACCAATTTCAGTTGGAAGGGGCACCTGTAACAGGGCCTCTTCTGATGTTCTCAAGGATTGGGGAGGTACATATGGGATGATGTTATCTTTCCTTCAAATCTCTCTTCAATATGGCTTCCTACATTCATATAGGGAGAAAATCAAAGTCACTCATCTGACCATACTGAAGCATGTTTTTAAAGACAGAAGTCTTGTCTAAAAACCTACACATTATATTATGTATTAATATATTATAGGGAAATTATAGCATGAAATCCTTATACTGGAAGGTTTAATCTTCCTATTACAAAAGCATGATAATCATGGAAGGTCAGCAGCATTTGACCCAAGCATTTTTTTTAAAGTTAAAATCAATGAATACTACAATATAGCATTGAATATTAAGAAGCAATAAAGTTTGGAACAGGATAATGAGAATGAATTTATGGGATGGATAGGACATGTAAGAAGAGATGGTAGTGGATTTTTGTGGTTAGGAAAATCCGCTGAGAAAATTCTAGCTATGCCACATATTAAAAGCCTATGTCAGAATAACAGTGGTAATTCCAGGATGAATGAATCTGTAATATCTGACTTGCAAATTTATTTCTACCAACATAATCAAAGCTAATCAAACAAGAGAGATAAGTTTTTCAGAGCCATCGGATGTTTGTTCACCTGTATTTATTTGCTGGTAGGATTTATTTACATAAATGCATTTCAAATTTCAAAACTTTAGCTCCTGAGTTTAACAAAACAAAAAGTAAGATTCCTTCAAGTTGAGCTTAATTCCTACTGACAGCATAGAAACATCAATGCAATATATCACATTTGTTTTTGTTTTTGTTTCTATTTCTTATCTAAATACAAATAGCTCAAATGTATTCATTTGTTTTATACACCATTTCAAAACAATCCAGTTCAAACAAACAGAAACAGAATTTTGAAGTAATATTGAAGAAAACAAACAAGCTTTAGGAACTTACTGGAATATAGAATATTTATATCTGAAAAGGAAAGGATGTACTACTAACTTATTTTCATAACTGACTGGATGTGATCTTAAGACAAAGAGCAAGTTCATTTGAGCAGTCTTTCAATTAGCCACTATTTTAAATTGGACCTGAAACCATATTGGTAATTATCTATTCAGTAGGGGTGTGTCATGAACCACCAATGTGGCTTCAACAAGGAGTTGAGTAGTTTCCTTCTCAAACATATAAAATTCCAGGGCCATTTTAAATTAAACTCTCTTGCCGCCGCCGCCCCCCCCACACACACACACAAACTAAGTACAATATTGATCTTGTTCCCTAAATTCAACCCACAGAGGCCTCTACAAAATGTCATAGCAAATGATATCAGAAGTCAATATAAGAAAGTTGAATATGCCAATGACAGTCATCCCCAAGGTGGCCTATGCAATTTGCAGCCACAAACCGGGTCTAAAACAGAATAGAACAGAGTAAAATAATCAAAATCCAACAAGAATGGCAGAATTGAAGATATTGGTACTGCCTCAAGCATCTTGTTTTCATTTGGCATTCGATCATATCTTGAGCAGTCTAAATTTTTAAAGACAGGCTTAACTCTTGCATTTTTAATTCCCTTTTCT